AAATATATTAGTAAGATACGGATAAGGTGTCAAAATCTGTACAAGGTTGTAAAAGTAATAATTGTAAGTCTTACATTTACTTCAAAGAGCATTAAATTGTCTTGTTTGCAGTTTATTTACAATTGCTTTGTTGTATAATTTACGCTTTTATGACATTTATTGCACTTTCAACAAAACGGTGGCATACTTAAAATTGAGCATTTAAGTACTTCTGACTTTAATACAAAAATCAGATAAGATCTTAAGGAGACACGAAAAATTTAAAATAAATCATAACGAATTGTTTCGTAATAAAAAATAATCAGATAAAAATTTTTATTTCACAAAACGAAGTAGTTTTCTGAAGATTTTGACGCAGAAACTTATATCAAAATTTGAACAACAAAGCAACACTTCGTCAACAAATCATAATTTCTTTTGACTATGACTACTGACTACTCCAACAAAACCAATGAGTCTGAATAAGGCGACGTGTACTCGAAATTAAAAAAATTAAATAAAAAATAAGAAAAAACTGTTATATATTTAAATGTATCTGCACATATCAAAAGATATCCGTAAGTATGTATTTGAATGGAATAAAATGTCTGCGCTGACATTTTGAAATGAAATGTCAAGCATGGCTCAACTTTAGTGGCACTTTATGGCGGCAGAAAGAAGTTCCCAGTTTAAAGCCATTTTTTGAAATTTCGTTTGCTGAGGTCTCTTAGAGGGGATTTCGGTTTTCTTTCCGTTTCATGCTTTACATTTTATGTGATTTTTACTTTTAAGTAGAGTCTGTGGGTTGCATGGCACAGATATCATAAGTTTTGTTACTAAATAAGGTAACAAAAATTAAACTCGATTTTTTTGTCGTTTTGCCTTTGAAAAATAATTTTTATTTTATTTTATTTAATTTAATTTTTTTATTCTATTTACATTTTGTTTTTTTTTTTTTTTTTTGCTTTGGTTTTGTGAGATGTGAACGTGTCATATACTGCTTTATGGCAAAAGTTAAATATTTACTACTGCCGTTGAGGTTGTTGTTGGATTTGTTGTTATGACTATTTTTGAGGAGGCGAACTAATGCTGCCCACTTACTTTTTACCATTTTTAGAACTACTGAATGAACCGCTTAGAGTTGGTAGACCTTAAGTCGTATTACAGCCAGTAACTTTTCCCGCTCTCTCATTGTGTTGCCATCCATCCTATAAATTTCGTATTTCTTAATTGTTTTTGTGTATATTTTCAATGTAATTGCCTCAGTGTTTGTCGTTCGTAGTTTGTGTGAAGCGTTTTAATGTCAAATGTTGATTGGCAAATCTCTCTACTTTGTTGTTTTGTTTGATTGCCAAGCTTTGCACAACGTTTGATTGGTTGTTGCGGATAAAAAATAATCGTTAAATAGGTTAAAATGGCTGCCATAATTAGATACAAATTTCAACGGAACTTATAAGGCAAACAGATATCAAACAAGTTGATTTAAGTGTATAGATATAAATTTTATTAGTTTTTTTAAAGTAGTTTAGATAAACGATTTATTCGAATATTAAAATAATTACTTAAATAAAACACATATCTGTATATCGTTAGTATTAGTGACAATATGATTCTTAATATTGTAGTAGTTTCAAAAATAGTCCATATACTAACTATTAAGTTGAGTACCATTAATTAGAATTCAAATTAGTGTAATAAATTTTGTTTACTATATAATGCATATAATTATTTATATTGTATAATCAGAAAAATGGTTTGCCAATTATTTTTCCTAGAAATAAACATTAAACAAATGTGTACTCTATTTGGCATGTTCCGAGGAGTTGAATCTCAAAGATTTTCTTATATTATTATTTGGTGTATTTCGTTGTTCCGAAGTAATGCAAAAAAGAACAAGTCTTTTGCTAAAGTTTCTTATTAATATGAAAACCAGCAATACTACTTTCTGGTCCTAATAGTCTAGATATGAAGTGTGTAATTATGTAGAGGACTGCAGAAAAAATGTTACCAAAGTAATCGGCGATGTAAACCTTCGTAGAAAATTTTAAGGATTATTCCAGTCATCTGTCGAATTGTTTGTAAATAAAAATTTTTATAAAATCAATTCAAAAATTGTGAAAAAGATAATTTTTAAAAATAGATAAAAGCTGTGAAAAATAAATATTCGAAAAACACAAAAAGTTTTTTAAAAATCCATGAAGAAATTATTATAATATTAGGAATCATCCTGATGAAGGCAAAGCAAATTTACCGAAATATGTATAGAAATATTTTAAAATAAAACGTTCGAAATAAAAGCTAAAATCCTAAAAATACAAAACAACTTTACTTTATGAAGAAATTCTAAAAAATAAGTAGATTGAATTTTTAACTGCAGATGTTAACATTTCTTTTAACACTATTTCATTTTAATTAGTAATTTTTTAATAAATATTTAAATTTATATAAAATGCATTGTATCTTGAATTTTTCGGAAATTTTTAATACTTATTTATTATGAAACAATATTTGGTAGATTGTAGCAGTGATACCAATACGTTAAGAAGAGACTTTAACAAGAGACTTGTCGTTATTTGCCACTCTACAGAACGGCTGAATGCATCTATTTTATAATAGATGGTTAATATTAAAACTACTGAAAATGTGATCAATATCAGATACTGAAAAATTTAAAGAAAACATGTACAAAATGTTTCGATTCCTGGCATTTGCAATAGATGTTTCCAAAGACCTTTGATAATGGATATTTGGAGATTGCTAAAGCAGGTGTATGGATAGTTTAAAAATTCACTTTATTAAAAATTATGAAAATTTTGAATTGTGAAAATTTTATTCATTTATTACTCTACATAGGACTGACATCATTTTTATTAGAAATATTTTTTAATTTGAAATAACTTTTAATATAAAATTATTAATTCTTTTGCTTTTAAATTACTGATATCAGAATAATAGATTCAATTACCAAATATAAGATTCAAGTTTAAAAATTGTACTGCTTTAACTGCTATAGCAGTTAAATTACTGTCATCGATTTTTCTGGTGTTTTATATGTAACCAAAAAATTGCATATCAA